TATCCTACAGCGCAGCAGACAGAAGCTAAGACAATAAAGAAAGTGAGGAAGAGGAAGTCCATGTTGAAGAACCAGAGAAAGATCACGATGCTTAAGGAAAAGCCAGGGAAGGTCTACCTTGGACCAGAAAGGCCACATGTGCAATGTCTATGCTGTAAAGTCTCCATAGAATATTTTTTAAAAATAGTGATTTTGTTCCCCCCCTTCTTCCTCTTTTACCCTGGGCGGCGAGGATTGAAATTCCTGGGTGTGAAAGATTTTATCCACCAGGAAGTGGTTTTTTTTAATGAATTCCCTTCTTTTGTTATTCTACAAGTAGGAAATATAAATATGGGGATAAGAATTAGGAAAGCCATATGAGCATAGGGTGAATTAAAGGGAACCTCTGCTTGTGTTAGCAAGTAGGAAAATCCAGTGAAAGGAAGAATAAATATTAAAGAATAGTCCCCACTGAAATGAGAAAACCTTAATTTTTTATTTTTTAGAATCCGTGAACACTTCATTCTAGCTCTTGAAGTATTGAATGGAGATATAAAACAGGATGAGAGAATTGCTTGAGAGAAAATGACAAGAGAAATAGATAAACTAAGGGCATTTGCTGATCAGTTGGTGGTAATTTTGGAAGCCCCTTTGGAAGGAATAGAAATATTAATGGAAAAATTAAAGCATTTTGGTGTGTTAGCTGGTTTTAAAATGAATACCCAAAAGACGAACAATATGAAAATGGAAGACCGAATAGAAATAATGGAAAAAATGATTTTAAGATTGAGACAAAAGTAAAACAATTGGGTAATATTCTGACTAATATAAATTGTATGTTATTTCAAAAGAATCCTGTGAAGGCATGGAATGAAATCAAGGATATGTTAAGATGGGAAGAATTACAATTGTCATTGTGGGGGAGAATTTCTGTGATAAAAATGCATGTATTACCTAGAATGATGTTTCTGTTTCTAACAATACCTATCCTGACAACTGATGCACCCTTTAAGCAATGGCAGAAAGATATATCTAGGTTTATACGGCAGGGGAAAAAACCGAAGAGTTCAAATTAAAACTCTTCAAGACGCAAAGGAAAGAGGAGGATTGGGATTTCCTGAGTGGAGATTGTATTTTCCAGGCTTCTGTTTGGTTTGGATGAAAGAGTGGGTGTTGCTGAGAAGAGAATTTTAAAATTAGAAGGGCACGACCTGAGGTTTGGATGGCATGGTTGGTTATGGTATGATAAGGTGAAGATTAATGTAGACTTTAAAAGTCATTATCCTCAAAGTGCCATATTGAGAATATGGAATAGCTACCAACCCAGGCTGTGTCTGAAAACGCCTTTGTGGGTCTTGGCACAAGAAGCATTTTATAGAAAAGGAACAGCAGGCAAAGAGTAATGGTTACAATATCAAGAGTTGTGAGAACAAGAACATGGAGAACCGAAGATGAAGTCAAGAGATCAATTGACTGCCAATGGATTTAGTTTTCAATGGTCTTGATATGTACACATAAAGGAAAGATTTAAAGTAGAGACAAGGACATTTGGAATTGAACAACATAAGACAGAATTTGAAACTGAATTATTGTATGTGCAAATGATGAACTTGTAGTTGCTGAGATGTATAAGCTTTTACTGAAATTTGAAACGGAAGAAGAACAATTTAAAGAGTGTGTGATAA